ACACTAGAACGTAATTGCCCTTTCACTTATCTACAGTTTTGCTCTCCACAGGTACAGTTACCTACAGTCAACTGCAGTCCAAAATCATTACAGGTATAGGGTTCAGTACTATCCATGGTTTCAGGCATCTACTGGGATTTTTGGAACATATCTTCTGTAGATAAGGAGGGACTATTGTACTAGAAGTGTTAAGAATTGTGTCACATGCCCAGAAGAGATTGGGGACTAAAAAGCAACTCCTACTTCAGTGTCTGGGTCAACTAACAGATCATTTTTGGCACCGAGAGAAGTCTTTCTCTAGCAGCAGGTGATATGGACAGTCCTTAGTGTTGGTTTTTTGGGTCTGATCAATATTTCCATTAAAAATGAGAGAGAGAGAGGGAGAGAGAAAAGAAACCAGAGAGAGAAACTCTTATGAACCTGAGTGACAGAGATAATTCAATCATGAAGCAAAGCTCATTGTTCAAGGAGTGGTTTTCATGTTCATACATCAAGGCTGCTTCACTTTTCTAAAAATAGACCATTTGGTAATATGGCATGACCAATGCCTTTCTTTACATGCACAGACACTGTATTTCCATCCTTGCTGAAGTCACGTCTAAACACTTCTATTATTCAAATTATATAGTACACTTTCTTCCACTCTAAATGTATTTATTTATTTTGGGTTTTCTTGCTCTGTTTTATTTAAAGCCTTGGTTTCAGAATCTTGAATAGATTCTTTCAGTGCAAATATGGGTTTGAGGATTTGACATGACTCTGATATAATGACAGTATTGTTTTTTTATATATATATAAATATATTTTCCTTTTCATTGCTTGCAATATAAAACTTTTAGTTTGTGAATTTTGGGGCTGGGGGGAACAAAGACATGACTCCTATCTAACCATGGAGGAGGGATGTGAAGGAAAAGGAGGAAGAGGAAGGCTCAAAACAAGACAAGAATCACCTCTACAATAAGATGACCCTACAGACTGTATGGAATGGCCTATGCATGCAAGACTAAGGTGGCAACATACTTTCTTTATCGAAGCATCTAATGACTCACAACAGTCATCAAATGCAGTGAATACATTAAAAGCTACATACATCAAGCAAAGCAAAGCCAAATCAAATCCTCACACTAGAGCAGAGGTCCTTTCACACTACCCAGTTATGGCACAATGAGTCAATTTTAACTGCTACAGCAATGCCCAACGGAAACCTAAAATTTATTAATTTATTAATTAAAATATTTCTATCCTCTATCTAAAGAACTCAGGGTAGTGTACAACAAATCTAAAATGCCTAATTTATTGGTGTAATGGTTTGAGCATTGGACTAGGACACTCGGACATTCAGAAGGTCCCAAGTCCCATCTCATCTTGGAAACTAAGGGGGGTTGCAGACTGCCAGAAATAGTGCAAATTGAGTCCACTTTTAGGGTTAGGGTTAGGGTTAGGGAATCATGGAGACTATAGTTTATTGTGGCACCAGAGCTCTCTGACAGATAAGGCTCAATGTCCCAGAAAAAAATACAATTCCCATGATTCCCTTGCACTAACCCTAACCCTAAAAGTGGACTCAATTTGCACTATTTCTGGCAGTCTGCAACCTCCCTAACAAGGTCAGGCCTGGCTAATATTAAAATGGGAGACCATCAAGTAACACCAATGGCAAACCAGCTGTGACTGCTCCTTGCCTAAGAAAACACAATGAAATTTATGAGGTCATCATAAATCAACAGGAATCTTGAAGGCACATATATACATATGTGGCTGGATGTGATTCTCACTTTACATGAAATATCAGAGGCAAGAAGATATAGTTCTTCAGTTGTGTAATTTCTGCATCCTACAGGTTGGGAAGACTAACAGAGGTGCCTATCCAAACCCTTCCTCCCTACTAAAAAGGTATCTTGGATCCAACATTGAACAGAACAATGAAGCCAAAGCAACACCCCTTTTAAAAGCTGACTCTGCCAAGGTTTGGGAGGAGAAGGAGATAATTTCTACTATGAAGATTCAGCTCTTCTTAAAAATGTTATTCTCAGCAGCCTGAGATGCTTTGGACGTACTATTTAAATATCTATTCAATTTAAATTCAAAACTGTCACATTTAAAATCAGTATATGCTGACAAGGAGCAGGTTGTTGTTGATGACTAAGGTTTGCATTTATTTCATTTTTTAAAAAAAGGGTACTGAAGGGAAAAAAAGATGAAGGAGAAATGAATGTATTGTTCCTATATGAAAGAAATTCAGCCTTAAGTTGTTATATATTTGGGTTCATAAAAAAGCAACCTTATGCCAAGGTTCTAATCATGCACAGGGATGCATTCTTGAAGGAGGCAGAAGATGAATATTATAACTCGCTGAGCATTCATAAACCACAGTGAAGAATGCAACACTTATTGCAATTTTCTCTAATTTATGACTGGAAATCATAGAATCATAGAGTTGGAAGAGACCACAAGGACCATCCAGTCCAACCCCCTGCCATGCGGGAACTCAAAATCAAACCATCCCTGACAGATGACCATCCAGTCTGTTTAAATAACAAAACATAGGATGCAATTATAAGGATGGTGGTGATGGGACAGGGATAGGGGTGCTCAGATGTTGCAGCCAGGCCCCCACATTCACTGGTTTCACTTTTGCAGATTTGATTATTTGTGGATTTGATTAATCTGTTCTCCCTAGGAATCTCTAGATCCTCCAGTGCAATTTTATGGTCAATGGTTCTAGAGTCATACTGGAGGACCAAGAGATTCCTAGAGAAGTGTTCTCACAGGTTAAAAAAAATAGCATTCATTATTTTGATTTTGGATTACAGTTGGTCCCCTGTATCCATGGATTTTTTTATCCATAGATTCAATCATCCATGGCATGGAAATATTCCAAAAAAGTATAAATTCCAAAAGGCAAACCTTGATTTTTGCCATTGTATATAAGGGACATCATTTTACTACCCCATTGTATTTAATGGCACTTGAATATCCATAAATTTTAGTATCCATGGGGGTCTCTGGGACAAAACCCCACTGGATACCAAGGTCCACTGTGTGTGTGTGTGTGTGTGTGTTTCACTTGAGAGGGCTGTGCTGCTAATCCTAATAAATGGGGGGGGGTAACTGTAGTTCAATGTCTAGGATCAAGTGTTGTCGCATATTAACACATTTCATTCATTTTTATTGCTTGCAACAGACACACATTGCAACCCACTTTAATAGTTAGGAATGTTAGTTAATGAAATGACTTTGTAAAGGCAGTCAAGGGAGGGCAGACAGCGAAAGTTTAAATTAGGCCATTTGCAATAACTATCTGGGAGCTGGAAAGCAGCAGACTGCAAAATAAGTGCAAAACTCCACTCTGTCCCAAGTAAGAAAAAGAAGAAGAGAGAAGATACTTTTGATGGCAGGTCCTTTCATTTCCTCTGGCGTCAGGTTGGCTACAGGTGAACGAGAGCAATGTAACCACTACAAGAAGAAGAAAGGTGAGGTTAAAAGACCAATCACTTATCTTGTATTGATTTCGGGACACTATGTTCCAGATATTTTTACGAGATAGAATAACAGCTCTCACCTTCGTGTCGGGAAGAGACAAAAATACTGAGGGCGTATGGGGAAGTTGTTTTATAGTCATGTTTCTTTGAAGCAATATGGCATATTTGGATTCTTCAAGGGAAGAAGGGGGGGAAAGAATTGGATGAGAGAAAGGAAAACACATTTCCCACTAATCCGCCATTTGTCTTTGTTGCTACATAACCTGTGAGTTGAGAGGTCAAAATTCAAGTGCAATTGGTCCTTTTTGTCTGTCTGTCTTTCTTTTTTCATCTCAGGTAACCCCACATTTCTGGTAATTGAACCCACTCTACCCAGTCAGTGGTCCTGTCAACTCATATTCAGTGTCGGTCATTACCGAGAAATGTTTCATGACATGTTACACTGAGGGAAGCACCGCGGCACTGCTAGACAGATTCCCCTTGGCACCACAGGCAGAAGACAATGGAAGCTCTTTTTAAGACCAGTGATGTTTAACATTTTTACTTGCCGTCAGCGTGACTAACCATCAAAATACTTAGATCCCCTTGAATGGCAGAATAATACATCTACACACACACACATCATACAAGCAACTTAACTGTACTTGCTCAGCTTTGAGAAAGCACTGGTCCAAATCAGGAATAAAACAAAGGAAAAGCTTTAGAGGCACCAGTTCAAAACTCATTCAAGTCTGGCAAATTCGTTTCTTTTTTGATTCTTCATTACATGTTTTGTTCTGTCATTCCACCAAAAAAAAGAAAAGAAAAAGAAAAAAGGGGGGGGGGAGACCCTGTACTCAAGACTCAATCAAGCATCATGAATGATAAAAACAATAATAAAGAAATAAAACTATTGAGATGATCATAATAATAAAGATTGAAATTCTCATCATCAATGAAAATAGAAAAATCGGTGAAATAATCTCTTCTGTATGTATTTAGATTTCCATGTTAATTTTTTAAACTGAAAATTTAGACAAAGTAACAAAAAGAAAAAAATAACTTTAAAAAGATCAGATGCACACACACACACACACACACACATATATATACATGTACTCTGACGTCTAAATCGCAAACTCCCAAATCTAGCCAATCCTAGATGGATATATCCATCAAAGCCAGCCTGAACAAGCCATTTCCCAAGGCTTTTAGAAGACATTTGCACTGTCGCTGTAGGCAGACCTCCCCCCAAAAAAGCAGAGCTACCAAGATTGCAGTGCAGTATGGGGAGAGATGAGATCTCCAAAGTGCACAGCTGCCAAAACAATGCAGCAGATCAATAGTAAAAGCATTCTGGTTTACTTAGTTTGGTATGCTCAGAGCTACTAGATGGCTCCCCATCCCACTGCTGACCAAGTTCTAACAATCTCTTCTTCAGTAAAAGAAAATGCTGCTGTCAGGTGTACTCAGAGCAAGATGGGAATAATTCAGAATGGCCTTTCTCAAAATGCATTTGTCTGTTCAAAAAAGGGGGGAGCCAGTGTGATGTAGTTGCTTAAGTGTTGGACTATGACTCTGGAGACCAGGGTTCGAATCCCTGCTCAGCCATTGGAAAGCCACTGGGTGACCTTGGACAAGTTACACTTTCTCAGTCTCAGAGGACAGCAAAAGACAAACTCCCTCTGAACAAATCTTGTCAAGAAAGCCCTGTGACAGGTTTATCCTAGAGTCATCATAAGTTGGGAACAACTCAAAGCCACACAACAACAGCAACACATTCAAAAATAGAAGATGTGGGATTTGTGTGGTCATGGGCCAGATATGAACACAGCCCCCCCCCCCGTGACATATTCCCATCCACCCCAATGGTTAAAAGGAAAGGCTTAAAAATGTGCAATTATGCCAGGGTATAATACCACCAGGAGATTATTCAAGGCTATCCCTCAGGGTTTTTTTTAAGGTTGATAAATACTCTAGGCACCAGATCCTGTCTGATCTTGAAAGCTAAGCAGAGTCAGCCCTGGTTAGTACTTGGATGGGAGACTGCCAACAAATACCAGGTGCTGTGGCTATATGTCAGAGGAAGGAACTGACAAAACCACCTCTGAGCATTACTTGCCTAAGAAAACCCAATGAAATTCATACGGTTGCTATGAGTTGACCAGGTAACTTGAAGGCACCTACACATAGCTATAAATAAATAAAGGTAGGCACAGTCCATCAAACATAGAAGGGTATGGGTTGGATATAGGCCCCAGATCATAAGCAATTGCTTACACTGAACTAATCTATACCTATATCTATAATATATATCTGTATTTGTATCTCTATCCATCTGTCTATCTATAGTCTCCTTTATCCAGATGTAGGGTTGCCAGATGAAATAAGGGACGAGGCCCCTGTCCCTTCAAATTTGTCTTTCAGTCCCCATTTCATGTTGAGATACCATAGCTCAATGATAAGGGCTAAATTTGAGTTTCAATCCAACCTTCACAGTTTTCCCAGGAAGACATATCACTTTCCCATTACCCTTGTTTGGGATTTTCCCCACTTTTGCACACATTTGTCCATTTCTAAAACACTGAATTGTGTCTCCCGAGGCTTGGCTGCTCACAGCAAATACTAGTTGGGTTGCTTTAAACAGTGTTGACCCACACACACACACAAAAGCCAGCAAAACCAAAACCAAACCAAACACCCCACAACTGTGGAAACTGGAAGTAAACCTCTGGACAGTTTCTGGTCACAGTATCAAAAACAGGTGTGAAATAACAGAGTCAAAAATTTGAGTTTCAAAAAGGCTCAAGAGAGACCTCTTTTTTTATAACAAGAAGTTTGATTGTCAGTGGGAAAACTGTCAGCTGGTTTGTTGGGTTGTCAGTGGAAAAACTGGAGACAGATCTTTCATCTTTAGTATTCATCTTTTTAAATTCTTGTAAGCCGCCTTGAATCATTTTGGGAAAAACATGGGACAGATATCCCATAAATAAATAAAACTTTAATGGTTGTGTAAAAGCAGTTGTTGCTTGGCAGGTAACATGCAACAGGTGCTAAAACCTTCTCTTCTACACAATCCTTAAAGGTATAGAACTGCCTCCGGTTTTCATTCTAGCAACACTACTCTGACAACACTAACAGGAAGTGATGACACTTTCAGTTCACTTCCTGTTTTTTAAAAGGCTTTTTAAAAGGTTGTAAAAATGGCCCAAAACATGCAAAATAATGCCTACTACACTCCCTAGAGGGCATTTGGAGACAATTCTTTAAAACCTGGGGTATCCTGTAAGCCACAAAAATGACCCTAGGGATTGCCCGGAGCCCACAGAATCCACTTTGCCCACTCTTGCCCTATAGGGGCTAAAATGATCTGACCCAACAGAAGGAAGCTTCCTACATTATAATTTTCAGTATGGCTTCCATCAAAGGGGAAGGAAAAGGGATTTCAATATGCACCATCATTCATGGTATTCAAGCCTTACAGCCTAGCAGGAGGGGAAATGTGTTGCAACAATTTTTCTAACGCTGAAATACCCCATCGCCAAATGTTTCTGTCAGAGAGCAGTTTAATTACTTTGGCATCCACACCACTTATAATCACCTGTCATTAGCAACAACGCTTGCATCTGTTTACACGTCTGTCAGAAACGATGGCCCAGCTGAAGACGAGAGATGTAAGACAACACTTGTGAGGACACAGCCCCAGATGTGCAAAGGGCATCTTAAGGTTATCCGTTCTCAATGTGGGAAGTGAAGAACTTCCAAGAAGTCAAAGCATAATGGAGATGCTTTGGCTGATGCCCTTTCAATATCAGCATAGAGACTTATACTAAGTCTTACTGCTTATGCAATTATTTTAATACAGGAAGATATGACTTTAAAGAGTCATTTCTTCACGGGAGGTGTGGGGCTCACATGTTACCTTACCTAGAGCTTGAAAGTAAACAGTTACAATTAACACACCTACCTTTGACAGGTTGTGTTATGCAGTGATTTCCAAACTCTGATCTTCCAGGTATTTTGGACTTCAGCTCCAAGAACCCCATATCAATGGTCAAGTCAGCTGAGATCTCTGGGAGTTAGAGGACTAAAGTTTGGGAATCGCTTTGTTACAACAGAGGTGGGACAAAAATAAATTTCTAAAAGAACACAAGTGAACACAAAGGATGCTTCTACACTGTCAAAATAATGCAGTTTGACACTACACCATCTGCGATGGCTCCATCCTCCAGAATCCTGGGATTTGTATTTTGAGAGGCATCAACACTCTTTAGTAGAGAAAGCTAAAGACTTTGTAAAACTACAAATTGTAGGAGTACATAGGCTGGAGCTACAGCACTTTTAGTGGTGTCAAATTGCATTATTGCTACAGTGTAGATGCATCCAAGTCACTTTACTTATGTTAAGTGCAATTTTTTTTTCTGATTAAATTTTGAAGCTTTTAATAAAAAGGTATTTTTAGAGACATTTTGGCAGGAATCCCCACCTTCCCAGTTTTGGATCATTTTCTTTTATTTTTATAAATCAACTTTTGTCTTTTTAAAAAAAGGTCCCTGGGGGATAGCTATGTTAGGCCTAAAGCCTATTGCTTGGGCTCATATAAAGTAGACCCATTGATTAAATGGGATTTATCTATGTGTTGACTCATTGTTTAACAACTGAATCAATATGTCTACTCTAGTTGGGACTAGTCAATAGGATTCAAGGCACTGACTACTGCAGTAAAAAGAGAAACACCACCACCAACAACAGCCTTGTAGCAAAAGTGGACCCTTGGTATCACTGGGGTTTGGTTCCAGGACCCCTTGTGGATACCAAAATTTGTGGATGCTCAAGTCCCATTAAATACAATGGTGTAGCAAAATGGTATCCCTTATATAAAATGGAAAAATTATAGTTTGCTTTTTGGAATTTATGTATTTTTAAAATATTTTCAAGATGTGTATGGTTGAATCCGTGGATAAGAAATCTGTGGATCCAGAATGGTGACTGTAGTTTCAATTTGGCAAAAGCATTTGTAATTTAAAGCCCACTTTTTATAGGGCCTTGAGTCCCTATATTGGGAGAAAGGTGGGATATAAGAAAATATCATCATCATCATCCATAGAAACCAAGGAGAATATAGCAAGTGATGTTACAAGTATTAAAATACTGGTATTATAAATAGCAATGACAAAGATCTTTCTAAACATTATGAAAGGTATTGGGGGAATAACTTTTAAGTAGAATATTTTCTTTACATGTGATGTAGGGATGTGCTAAAATGGAATTGCATGGGCTGAAGGGCATTTTTCTCCCAACTTTGAGACATCATGAGAGAAACCAGAGAACATATGGGTCTAGGTAGATAGGCCAAGCAGAGGTGAAGTCCCAAAAGTGGCACTTTTAAAGACGCTATTGCCAACATGGATACTATAGAGGTATTGTCCCAGAAGATGTCTGTACCATGTCAGCCAATGATAATCCGAACTGGCCTTAATTACATTCTAAACTAAGATTTCTTTAGGTTTTATAAATTGGGGGAATATGATCAAACACAGACAAAAGAAGGCTGACACTGTGGTTAATCCTCAAAACTCTTTCCAACACAGTTCCCACCATGACATGCTCACAGAGATACATCTCTGGTATTCATTTGGAGGGATTATGTATCATTATCAAGGGCCAACATGTTTGCACCCTAACCGTCAGTCTAAGCTCCCTGCTACTTGCTTTGAATTTGTCTAAAGCTGTGGTTGTTCTCGGAGTTAAGGATAAATCGCCTTCTTAATCGGTTGCGATATTTCCTCTAAGCTGACTCTTTATTTGGGTAAATTAACCGCTCCCTGGGAATCCCCTAATGATGGGCCCAGACCTTCAAAGAGGGGAGATGCCGGTATACTGACACTACAGCTTGCCTTCTAGATACGTCTGCAACAGTTAAAGGAACATGTGGCAACATTTGATGCTAAATTTGAAATGCATTTTCTGCCCCTGCTACACACCTGAAACTGAGCCAAGATATCTCTTTGCTTTGCATTATAGTGAAATCCAAACTGGTCTGGATGACTATAAATGGTTACTGTTTGTCTTGGCTCCTACCTGTATCAGATTCAGACTAAGGAATCTTAGCAAAGAAATTACATGGGATAAAATGGATATTTCTAAATTACAAGGCTGCAATTCCAGGGGCTCGGGATATCGGTTTTCTGTTTCATCTAATCCTGCTGGAGAGAAAATTGTGTGGATCTGACAACAAAGGATCGAAAAGCATTTGCTTTCACGGGCCAAATGCTTCTTGTTTTGATTATATTGGAGATTCAGAAACAAAATAAAGATCAAGATCAGTTACAGCTTGCTAACAAATCAAACAGTTGTAGGCTGGAAACAGTGAAAAACTTGGGGAAACCTTAGGCACTGTGGCTTTCTCCTCTCAAGGCCAAATGTTAAATTATAAGACAAAGGGGTAGTCGCCTCCTGAATTTCCTACTCGCTCCATAACATGTGACAATTTGCCTTGCATCCCAAATGTATTACCATAGAACATTTCCATACTGCTGCCTGCAGCCACCAATGTTATGGAGCAAAGGAAAGAACAATTCCAAGTATCATGTCAGATAAGATGTCATTGT